ATATGCAAAGAGATCTCGTGTTTTTATATGAGGACAGATAGCAGAATACCTCTACACCCTCCAAAAATGTAAGCACTCTGTGTCACGTTAAAACAATAGATGACAAGACTGGAACTTGTACTGGGTATGATGGCTTCACTTGTCTGCCTTTCAGTTTGAGTGAGGTTAGAACAAAGCTGCCTTCAAGTGCGCTCCAGTCTGGAGAAAGGTAATGCTACCTAATGGACAGCCCTCATCCATCATTTTAGTCGATAGTGCTGTCAGCAGCCAAGGGAGATGTCACTGTGCTGTACAAGCAGAGGGAGACAAGAGACTGTGGTGCAAAGAGAAGGGCAGATATTTGCCCGTTTTAGAATCAACAAAGCAGAAACTGGTTAGAATTAACAAGATAACAGATTCACTGGGGAAAGTGGATCTTATGGCATATCGTTCATTTTGTAAATCTGCTATTTAGCTGCACAGCATCAATGTGTACATGGACTCTCATTTCTCTCTCTGATGGGAGTAAGAGTAACCTGCAGTAATTGGGTTCTCCTGTCTTTTCACACATTGTGACGCAACAGAGCTGGGACAGATAGCACCATTCGGCCTAGCTAGCACTTTGAGAAGGTTCAGTTGTGACTTTGGTGGCGTTTGCTTACGGATTTCTCCCCTATCAACCTTCATTCCTTCAGACATACTTCAATGATAATATCCTCACCTTGATCCGGACGCTGGTAACAGGCGGGGCGACGCCGGAGCTCGAGGGGCTGCTGGCAGAGGAGAATGCGTTACGGGGCGGCTACAGCACGCCACAGACCCTGGCAAACAGGGACAGGTGTCGCGTGGCACAGCTGGCCTTGTACGACGGGCCCTTTGCCGACCTCGGGGTAAGTGACTGATCTTGTCACTCAAGGGCTAAACCCATCTTTGTCTGCAAGTGTTGTGGAAGCTGACTTCAGTGAAAGGATTGAGACTAACAGGGACGGCTGTGATTCAGAGTTGAGATAAGTAACAGGGATTGTATGTCCAAAATTAGACGAGTTCTGTGATAATGAGTTTTAATTTAATCCAGTCATCCTTAAATAAGTCAACTGGAAAAAAATCCCCATACATCTCATATGAGTCATGTCAGCCATGTAGGGAATGGACTGCAAAAAGTGTCAGTTGCAGGTAAAAGAAGCGTGTAATATAATACAACATAAAAAATAAATAAATATATCCATATACATATCAGTGAGGAATATATTCCCATTAGTTTCTCAGCGCATCTTCACAAAATAGACATTACTAAAGGGTTGGTGTCATAAAGCTAGTTGGCTATAAGCTGGAAATATGCTAGCGCTAGTCAGTCACGGTAGCTTCTTCCTGTTTTCTTTGTACTGTGTTATTTACTCTGAATAAAGAAATTAATTAAATTGAACATATGATGCTGAAACCTTTATACAAAAAAATATATATAATATAATTTTATTATTGATAATTTTTTAAAGGACTTGATACCAAATGAGTAGCTTGTTAGTATCGAGGTATCAATCAGGGTTGATCCGCCCATCCCTTATTGGGATTCATTGTGGATCAGTTTGGATGGTGCAACACAGCTAATACGCTATGATAGCTTCCTCCATTATTCCCTCTAAGATCAGTTGTGTCAAGGCAGCTTTCTATCAGTCAGCGGTGGGAATTCATGTGTCAGAGCTTCTGCCGGATTAGCTTTGCCCCCATTAATGAATAGCAGCGATTCCTGATGTATTTGCAATCACAGGATTCAACAATCAGTTCAGGACTCATTTTGATGCCTGGATTTCAATGCATTTAGTCCATGTAAATAACTATTTCGAAAGATGACGTCTTTTTATATAATATTTTTCATATTTATTTATAGTGTTGTTTTTGTTCAAATAAAGATTGTGTGCTACAGTTTTTTTGTTTTTGCCATTGTCTTGCAGGATGGTGGTTGTTATGGTGACCTGTTTTGTAAAGCCCTGAAAACATACAACATGCTGTGTTTCGGCATCTATCGGTTACGAGACGCACATCTTAACGCTCAAAGCCAATGTACCAAACGGTGAGTACATACCTAATGTGTCCTTGCATTTAGATGCTCAAAACAGCCATAAAAAGGGCCGAAAGAAGTCACTTCTACCTACACTAAATTTTGAACTAGCCTTCCATCTGTTCCCTCTCTCCTCTAGGTATGTCATAACAAATCCGCCATATGCGTTTGAGCTGGTGCCCTCAGACCTGATATTCTGCCTGATGCAGTTTGACCACAACGCTGGCCAGTCTCGAACCAGCCTCTCCCACTCTTCACATTCGTCCCATTCCTCCAGCAAAAAGAGCTCCTCCGTCCACTCTATCCCAACCACCAACCGCACCAACCGCACCAAAAGCAGGGACTCACGAGACAAACAAAAGTATGTGCCCCTCTAAAGCTCTCTGACTGTCTTTGTCCGTGATCAGTGCCTGCCGACAGTTGCTGTCCTGTGTCCTTTTGCAGGGTCCAGACAGACTGTGAGATGTCTGGGTGTCGATGTGTGTATGTTTGTCTGAATGTGTATGTATGTTACTTGTATGTTTTAGTTTGCGCTCAACAACGGTATATGCAGTACAGAACAGTGCCGTCTGGCCCTTGGCATAGGGCATAGGGCAAAGTAGGCAAACACAAAGGGCTTCTGCCTTTCCTGATGGCCACCCCATTTTCCCCATCCATTGGTTGTTACAGTGGTTCTGAATTATTCCATACTTGTACTTTTGTTGTTTTTTTTGCCAAGAATTACCGTAAACTTTTACCAGGGTTGTGAGTATTTAATTAATTTCAAATTACATTTTGTTACAATGTAACATATTCTCTGTTGAATTTCACTATTCACAAATATTTTTTAATTTATTTTAGAAACCCATCCCTTTGTAGTTAAAAGCTAGATATCATAATCGACAGATATTATTTTGTATATAGTAAACTTTGCAACATACGCATGCAGAAGAGGGCTTTGTTTCTACAACTATGATACATTCTGATAGTGTCCATTCACCATTGATTTTGTTTTGATCCAAGTCTTATTTATTTATTGTAGAATAATTTAAGACATTTAGTTTGTTCAGTTTTTTCATTATTTCCTCAACTGTCACTGTTGATTTCACTTTAGTGCTCACACAGGTGACTCATGATTAAAACTCTTCCAGTTTGCAATGAAGCCATCTTGGTTAAAATGTGAAGGGCAAGCCCTAAAAGAAAGTAAAGAAAGTATTTTTTTGATATATGATATTGGCAACACAATATACAATGCAACAGAATATGTCCCCTCAGAGTAGGAATAGGCAAACATTTCAAGACCTTTAGTTTTACTTATTCTGTGCTTTCTTGTGTTAATATCTCTCACCTCTGTGATAAAGGTCACTGGGTCTCTCCATCTTTTTGCATTCCAAGTTTTGCTCTGTTGAAACTTGTGTTTGTTTTGTTTAAATTAAAGCAGAACCTTATTGTACTTGAACTGCACTTGAAAATACTTGTCTTAAAAGTTCATATTATGTAATGTCTATGAAATACTGAACACCTTGTCCTCTTAATGCCTTTTGATTTCCATTAACATTCAAATCCTATACTTTATTGTTATTTGCCACCATGAAATATTAATTATGTCAAGGTATTTACGAGTAGAAGATGTTACAGTTATATAATAAAGTTACACCTCCATTATAATAACACTGGTAATGTCACATTTCAGTATTTGTTAAACTTTACTTCAAGCCATTTTAGTCAGTGTTTGACTACCTAACAACATGGTTATTCTGGATAATACTGAATAATGCCATTCTTTCCATGAAAACCAAAACCAAAATCCATGGCATGTCACATCCTTGGCGTAGCCCAGTGCACAACAGGCTTGACAGCCAGAAATATAGCTCTCACTCCAATTATACAAGGACTGAATGCCCGATAGCAAGAGCCCCAGAACCACATAATCAGTGCACCGGGGAAACAGTCATATACCATGCATTACTGGATGACCCCTCCAGTATTCCTGCATGAATAAACAACTTGTCCCACAAGCAGGACTGAATCCACATTGCTCACCCTGAATAAGGTTTAACAACTGATCAGGACCTCCCAGCCAGCACTTTGGCATAAGTATTCTTGGGAAGCTGAGCAGTGTGATACCCCAATAACTGGAGCATAAAAAAGCCTCCATCTCCATCTGCCAGTCTATAGGCACGTCCCAGACTGCCACGACTTTGAAAGGGTGCATTCAAAATCTTTGCCAAAAAGATGAGCAAGGCTTCCAGTGTTGCCTGCTCACCAGAGGGTGGTTCATTTGGGTTTGTGAGCTCTTCAAAGTTTCCTTTCACAGCTCAATAACAGCTCCAGTTGAGGTAAGCTGTTCTCCTCCCCTGCTAAGAACAGTTCGTTACTGGGGTCTAATAGTTTGCCAGAAGACCAAATGAAATTCCTTCTTCATGGCCTCCTCAAATTCCAGCCACACCCATGTTTTGCAGCCGAAACCATAGAAGGTGCTGTCTCCCTGGCTTCTTAATGCATTTCTGTTGATTCAGCAATCCTCTGAGACAACAAAGCCTAAAAAAGCCTCCTTCATCTTGAATACTTTCTTTACCAGTGGTGTACAGCGGTGGTCTCTGGAGTTGCCACTGCAACAGGCACCAATGACATTCTGGCCATAGAAAGAGCCGTTTATGCAAGGGAGGCTTTGGACATGGCCTCTAACCTCCCTCTGGATGCAGGAAACATTTCTCCAGTCAGACTTTGTGCATAGGAACCTCTTCCCAGTTCATTATCAGTTTGCATTTGGGTTTATTTGGCAGCCCTCATAACTCTCACTTCTAGATGTAACAGTTGACAGCCCTTCTCCTCTCTTCTCCTGATCATCTAAGATATTCAGCAGCTGGATAATATGAAATCAAAGTCGATTGTTGGTCCAAGGTGTCTGATACTGTGTAAAATTACAACCCATACTCACACTAATATGTTTTGTTATGGACAGTTTATGTCTTTCAAGAACAAAGTACCCACAGATTTAGATTAGGCAGGCGGATCTTACCAACAAACCCCCCTCCAGGTTTCCAAGAAGGTTTGAAATTCCAAACTGATGTTTGCTGTACAGACACAAACACACAAAGAACAGTTTGAGCCTTTATCTTTGCAGAATGCAGTCATATGCTGTAGAGGCAAGATTTTAGTTACTGGGGTGCAGTGCTCAGCTGGAGTATCACCAAACTCACCTGGCACCTCTAACCCTGGGCAGAAAAGTAGCATGGCATTTTGACCGACGTTGGCAACAGAGCAACATGACCAATTTAAGGAGCCATAGTATTCCCTGACAGGATGTAGGTTTTTGCCAAGAATTGTGGCTGCTATGAGTTAATAAGCATTATTGTGCNNACATTTTAACTAACACATTTATAAGATTTTGCAGAATTGGCGCAGGTATGCACTCTCCACTTACTAATATTATTGCTATGGGAAAATATTCACATTCAAATATTCTTTGATTGTTCATTAAAAAAATGAATGAGCACATGTTACATTTTCACAGCTGCTGAATGAATACTACAACCCTTCTATGGTTAGTAATCTGTGCTCATTTAAATAATAAAAACTGTTCAGCTGCACAAATTCATTTACATTGCCCATTATACAGAAATAATTTTATTTCTACATTACGTTGCAGAGCACTCTTGTTTTGTGCTGATCAAAGTACATTATATAACACATTGAGTATGTTAGCTGCATGCTGCTCATTGAGTTTTAGAAAATTACATCTGGAACATGGACAACATCATCCTTCCAATTGCTTTGGCAACAGGCATGGATACAATATGGCTGCTTGACACATGCTACAGTGGCTAGATGCATAGTAATGGCACTTAAAAGATTTTCTGACATGATACATGTCCTGTTTTTCTTTATTTTTTGTTGAGTTGTTGGTCGCATCGTACTCCACATCCATATATAATGAGAGCTTCTGCTGTTTTTATACCTTTGATCATCATGCTGTGCAGTTTCTGTTATTAATGGTCATATTAGTATTTGCCATTTAGCTTACATTTAGTGTACTACTTTCTTTTTCCAAAGTGCAACAAGGATGAATAGAGTGGGCCAAGGTATGGAAGTGAATGATTATGCATGATGTTAAATAATGCATTGAACTCGGTCATGTCCTTGCTGACATTTTGCCCTCTGAATGAAAGCCAAGTAGTTTAGTGTTTCCAAATGACTGCATCAGGACTGCATGGTTATGACCTATGCAGTACATGACTGTAGAATGTGTGATTGCAACTGAATGGTTTGATGCTACTTCACTTTATTCTGTATCAAGTGATGTTTTATGTTTTATTATTGGCAACATGTATCTACTGGCATATGTGTTAATGTACTGTAGCATCACCGCCTTAAGTCATGTTGATGAAAATGCATGACCATGGACACTGCCAAGTGGATGAATCACCAGCGATATATTATGCCAGACTATCTATTTCCTTCTATAAGAAAGGAAAGTTGCATCAAGCCAAAAGCCTGAAGCCCCTCAAAAAGATTTAAAAAAACAAAAAACTTTGACCTAACTTAGTATAGTATTGAAGTTAAAAGTATTAACTTACTTAATTTGGTACAGTGAAGTATGAAAACAGACTTTGTTTAACTGGTGACCTGCATGTCTGCTGCTCACCCAACAAAAACAGCATGCTTTAATGGCAGTACGGTATATATTAAAAACATGAGATGAGTGACATTACAGAGGTGAAAACTGGGACAATGGGACATTGAGTGAGCTGCCATTTAAAAAACAAAAACATCTTGGAGCATATTTTTATCATGTCAGAATTTCTTTCTACAAAATCAATTCAAACGATTGTTCCTTTCAAAATACACAATGTCCTCCCAATGTTCTGTGTGCACTTGAAACACAAACAGACACTGAAATTGTAATTGACGTCCATGTAGCATTAACTGTCTCATGTCCCTCCTCTTTGTCTCTGTATGATTTTGGCTCTTTCTCAGAAAAGACATGGTTTACAGATGAGCCAGAGAATACCCACCTGAGGACCATACAGATCAAGCCTGTGAATACTCTCGCCGTCAACCAAGTCAGTCAGTATAAATCCACAAACAGCTTGATTCCACCCATCAGAGAAGCAGAAGACGAGTGCTGAGCTCCAGACCCGCACTGACACCTCAACGCTCGGACTCCCAGAGGACTTATCGTGTAGGTGTCAGACTCGGTATATCTTCTCATCTGCAAACACAAATCATCAACTGACATTAGAAGAGACGAACCATACTGCTTCCTTCATTCACCTCTTCAGCAAGCTTATCGTACAATCAGTTTTAGAATCATAGATGAAATATACATGAAGACAATCATAGTCAACTGTCGCAACCACTCAAATATTAGTTTGCACAGCTAATCTTTAGTGGTGACCAGACTCCATGACTTTTTTGTTCCATTTTGGGGAATGAGGGTCACTTGAAGGGGAACAGCAATGTAAAAATTACCACTACTGCTACTAAAGGAGGGTATTATTATGATAACAAGTTTTGCATTTGTAAAAGTTGCCTTTTTAGCTGTTGATGAACAACTACTACTATTGCATTTACTTTACCCAATGTTGCAGAGCTATTCTGTACAGTATGTTAAAATGTGTATTTTACATCCAGCTGCGACCCCACCACAATGGCATTGTTAGTGACTGACTCTCAGTGATTCCTTTGCCATTTGGAGCTAATTCACAACATTTGTGACAGTTAAGATGGCCAGTGTCCATGTGTAAATGGCATTTGGCTCCAGCCTTATCTCTATCCATTTATATTTGTCTTATCTTTGCCTTTTTGACTTGTTTGTTATAAATGTTTTCATGTTGCTGTTTGGTTGCAATGTCCAAAAACCCCAGAAATCTTACTAAGTAAAGCTTTTAAGTATCTGAAAAGTTTCTCCAGGGGTAAAACATTAGGAATATTCATTTCATTATTTTTGTTTTCCTTCTTTTTTTGTCAATAGCCAAATATGATAGAGCTGTTTTGTTGACGACATTACAATATAACCAAAAATCTCTCACAGTTTCTAACACAGTGACAGAGCTATTCATTTTCTTAAGACACCATAGACTGCAAAGCAAAATACTATGATATAGCATGGCGTCATATGACAAGTCTGTAGTTGAGTTGAATGTAAAAGCCACATATCGCATGAAGTGGGCATTTTTGAGTCCTCCTTTGGCTGGAAGCACTGCCTGACACAGGATTGTCTTGGAGGCCATTAAGCGCTTTTATGTACTCCATGACCAATCTTAATACCATAATCAGACATGTTCATGCTTTTTTTATAGATACTTGAAAAACAGCTCTATCATAAAAAGTGGTTTTGGCTATTTATATGCTCTAAACCATCTTGGTGATCAATATCTGATATATTCATAAAACAAACCACTTCCTCACATCTAATGAAGCACAGACCATTTGTTCCTGTTAGTAAGTGCATGAGGCCAGCAGAGCTAAGAGTGGTTATTAATCTTGTCTTATTTAAGTAATACAAACAGCTATATTGCTACTTTTTTCACTGTACATTGGAATCAAAGAAGGGGAAAGAAAGGTAAACAAATAAACAACAGAAACAATCCATAAAATCCTTAATCCACACAGGATGCATCACAGTCCAGCCTAGCTTTCATGTTGGATTTGAAAAGAGAGGTTGTGACATTTTTACTGGCAGAGAGAACATCCAAACCATCCGTCCCTCAGTGCCAGTAATGTGCCAGGCAGTGCTGAAGCCAACGGAGGACTCCTGAAGACCCACTGCTGCGAAAAGAGGCTTCTAGTTGAACTGGATTGAAGCAAAATTCACTTTTGCCGCTAGACTGAGAAAATGTACTTTCCTCTTTGCTTTCCATCTTGCCAGCTCAGAGACCATTATTTTAAAAACTAGTAATTTCTTAATATGAGGCTGTAATTCCCTGGAGATAACTAGAAATGTAGTAAATAATTTGAAGTCTTAAAAGTATTTTTAAATGACCCATTGTCAATAGCAGAGCCTGATAGCAATTCATTTTTATGTATTCTTCAAAGAAATCTGTAAAGCTTAATGTAAAATATTTCTTTCTAGTGTGTTTTTGTTTGACAGATATTCTTGTTTAACAGTATCTGTGGGGTTGAGAGACATTCAGCATTGCAGTCTAGTTTGTATTATTTTGTGATTTTTTTTTAGCACATTGACTTGTGGATACAATGACAGTGCTAAGTTGATATTTCTGACTATGTCATAATACCCAATAATAAATACAGTTTATTGTCTTGTACAAATAGGCTTGTACATAAATTGTACATGATTTCATTTTGTATTTTCACAAATTAAAAGCTGACTGTATTGTGTTCCACTGTATGTCATGTCATTTATTTTCTCAGACTTTCCTGGGAAGTTACTGCTCCTGAATGGACAGTGTTCGGACATGAGGTTCAACAAAGACAACATTACTACCCAGCAGCTCTAGGCCATATTTTACACATTTATCTATCAAAGAGGGACTGCATATAAAGCCTTCTCCAGTGGTGATGACATAAGGCACTTTCTGATTGCCAGACTGATCATGTGACACTGGACACCTCAGTGAACCCTCTGGATAATGGCTGATAAAAACACTCTCCACATTCTCACCTTGGGGATGGAGAGGGCCCATCATGTTTCTTGTTAATGATTTTACACACCATGACACTGTGGGAGACTGTCAGCATGCCAATAATATTTACAGACTAACACCTCGCAGAGAGGCCACTGATTTCCCTGATCCTCCTGCCAGCGGCGCTGTCACCTTCTTAGTAAACAAACACATGTAACCATCATACCCAAAAACAGCCTGATTACTGTATCAAAGGAAATCTGAATCAATTTAATGGATTTTGAATTAAGGTTCTATGCAGCGTTGGGAAGTCTAGAACCGATTTATGTAGTTAGGATAATTATAAATGCACTCCGTAAAATTATGATGGCAGTTGTCTGAAAAATTAATCACAATATCGCATGGAAGCTCATAAAACGAATATGGAGTCGAGCACTGATTTGTTTGAGAACTGAAAGAGAGGCAAAGATTTGAGTGTCAGTTGTACAAACAGAAATAATCTAATTGGCTGATTTGAATCACAATGATTAAATAGCTTTTCTAGTTCAGTAATATTAAACTGCAATCCAAAGTAAAACAAAGGAGGGACCTGATATAAAATCTAACTAGTGTCATAAAACCATATTGAATCTGTGAGGTTACGTTGGACAAAAAAGGTTGGGAACCACTTGGTCTAATTAGTTAGTTAGCTATGTTTGAAGGACATATGTAAATATAGCATGGGGTCCTCCTTGGAAAGGGAGAGTGTAATATCATCTTCAATCTCGAGGAGGGTTGAAAAACATGCCCCATGCACCAAGGCTGAGTCCTGCAGCAGCAATGGGTTTGACTCCGACCTGTGGCCCTTCTCTGCGTGTCATCCCCCCTCTTCAGTCACTCTATAGCTGTCACTATCCATTAAAAAAAAGTCAATAGAAAGACTATAGGATGCAGTAGAAGAAAACACACACATGAGCAACAGTAAAAAGACTACGCCCAACAGTAAATAAACAGTTAAAATGTTGGATTAGCAACACATTAGCTACAGTAGTATAATAGCTAGCTTTATTAGCAGTAAACTAATAGCAAGAAAACTAAATTAACAGATCACTAATCAACAATCATAAAACAGAAGTAATAAAAGAATGCTAATCGTTAATGCTACAATAAGTGTATTAAGAGAGTAACTATAGATAAAAGATGCCTTCATTTGCATGGTCACATCTAACACCTGTTCTGCTCATTTTCTGCCTCCAAGAAATAACTAAAACTGCAGTTACTACATGTAGCTACCAGTCTCACTGGGATGTCCATATATACACACACACACATTCACACAAATCCACGGTCCCCTCTGAACACAACTCTTGTCCAGCTGCACAGGCTTGGCTGGTGATAATAGTTTCCATGACAATGCAGCACTCCAAGTGCATCAATGCCAGCCTGGATAAACAGTGATCCTTTACCAAAACAAGGGGGTCATTACGGCAGCTTGTCAAATCAATGTTGAGAGTGTCCTCGCTGATTAAGGCGTCCCCTCTCAGTCCTGACACAGTGTCAATACTGGCTGGCCTGTGGCGGCACACTCCCATGATTGGACTGAAATGCCTATCAGTCAGGCAGCTGAGCTGGACTAATGATTCCCTGTGCTGCCTATTAGAGTGACATGACAATTTAATCCTGTGGGCCAGGCAAGGAAAAAGTGACCTTGGTGCTTTATATTGAGGCTGAGGTAAATTGACAAGAACAGATAAATCTTTACCTTGGGCTATTAACAGAATTAAAGAACAACAACAAAGACAGAAGGTCCTCTCTCTTTTGTTTTGTCTTTCTGCCTCTGCCTCTCCAAACAACATTATATTAAACAATCCTTTAAATTTGAAGATAATCTGGTAAAAAAAATAAATAAAAAAAACATAACATATCACTGCATCATTAAAAAAATCATGTATTTCACAAATAATTTCCAAAACAATTCCACTTTGCACTGGTACGACTGATCCAATTCTTAGAACAACAAAGAGTCAAATAAAAGGCATGGGTTGAATCCTTCTATGCTTTGCTGTCATGCTGGAATATTGAAAGTAGATTTAGCTTGAAGCTCAAGGTTTTTCAGATGTTCAAAGCCATTCCAGCATGGCCCGGGGGCAAGGTGTATTGCCTTGGACATCTATCTTAAGGCTATGAGAACATTGTCTACATGGTTGGAAAAAGGCCATGTGTTTACACAGATGTTTCAAGCTTTTAGCACACAGATCTTCCTGTACCGAGCCGCACCACCATCTTTTGTGCCAAGGGCCATATACATTTTGCATTAGTTTACCCTTTGATACAGAAATGAGGGTGGGCAGGGGAGCTTGTAGACTTACACACAGTGTGTAAAACAAAGTAAAAGATCCTCACTGCTGCCACTTGAATATTTCTCTGAATCTGATTTAAATTGAGAAAAACTTTGCTGTTAACATTTCCGTCACTACAGCTTCATTTGTTCCTTCATTGTTATATTTTTTATATAGATGCTGTAAGGTGACCTGCAGACAGAGAGAAACATCGAGCCTCTCCACATTTCTACTGGAGAAACAGAAAACAAATGGGAAAAGATAAGAATTCCATCCCTGTTGTAAGGACAGATTGCTGGTACTGGGAGGCAATTTGCCTGTAAGGCACAGTTGCCGCACTGACCCTTTATGTTCCCTGTAAAGGTCAACATTTCCCTTTCTTTTGTTTCACTCCATGCATGCATAAATCAAAGCTCTTGGCTATTTTCATCTTTGAAGTGGGAAATACCACTCATCAAAAACAAAATACAACCTGTAAAATAAGATAATATTGCTACTATAATATTGCTACTTTAACATATCATGAAATAAAATATCGGTGGATGTTGTTAGGTCCAAATGTTTCAATATAATACAGATTGGTTTAAGAAATAAATGCTTGAGGTAAAGGTAATTTGGTTCAGCAATCAGTGTTTTCCCTATTTTTTATGGTAAATTGTAATTTTGCACATTAAAAACACCTTCTATTTTGCTTCTGTGCAAAGAAATTAGCAGTAACAAACAGCAAACAGATGGCACCATCCCATAACATCACTTCTCAGCCCAAGTTGTAAACATGATTTACAATTTGCAAGATATTATTTACTGTGATTCATGTTTCTGTCAGTTCCACACTGGAGGTTAATAGAAATGCCAGCATGCTCGCTGATTTACTTAGTAAAATTTTCATCTCAAGGTTCAGGTTCAGAATATTGGAGTCGGAGAGAGTTACAGGATTCATGCATTATGCAGAAGAAGCTGACACGACCTTCAGCCATCACAGTCTTCTCTATATATCACACTGGGCTTGACCCTCCCAAGGCCAGAAGCAACATTTGATATATTTAACCACTGCTGCCATTAAATTACTCACATTCTTTAAGAGCTGGTGATATTTTATATAGCTAGCAACACAGAGGCAATATAATTTTGATTAAAAGTGGTTTTACACTCTGTATTTGCCTTTTACCGCAGGTGATGCTTCAGCAATAAGGAAGACATTCATAAGTCAAAAGCAAACTAAATCAACAAATAAATCTCCTGCATAGCCCTTCTGATTTTTATGCCTCACATTATGGCTTAGCCATATGTCGGCCATATGTAGAAATAAAGAAGAAAATCTGCTCCTGCTGTTTGATACCGAACACATCATAAAATGATAGGAAATAAAGTGCTGTTTTAGAGGGTGAAGTCCATTTTAATATAATTGGCTTTAGAATTATTTATGACATTAATTGCCACATTATCGACTGGCTGTCAGCTCCTTGGGCTTGCAGTCCATTCTTCTTCACAAAGTGCGCCAGCTCAGCCTAAAGTAGACTGACAAGCTAATTATACCATCTTCCCTCTCAATGATAAATGTCACTAATGTGAATCTGGCCCAGAAATAAGACTCCTTAGTCACCTCAACCACAAAAGTCTCCCACTCCAGCCAGGATCTTTAGATAGGGACACTTCACTCTGCTTCATTTCCTCCTGAATCAAGTTATCTTAAAGAATTCAAGCCAATTGCTCTTGTTAGGTCATGTGTATTGCCTATTAAGCATTCAGACACATTGAATCAAATTTTTTGTGCCAGTATTTGCCAGTATGCCTTATCAGAGCTGCTTGTTGGACGATTGAAAGCCCTCAAACACACCTTTCTGACCACGGATTGTGGTGTGGTGCTGTGTTGAACAATTTCTGTTACTTTCCGAAAAAACGTCAATCCTGACATTAATAATACACTTTCACGCAACGACTGACCAGCTGTGTGAAAGTGAGATTGGAGCCAGGGTTTGAACCTCTTTTTCCAGCCTTTCTAGTCTTTTCTCATTTGTTACACAACTAGTCCTGGCACTTACATGTGTACAACCAAGTGCAACACTGTGAATGACTTCCAGGAGAGACTTTTGGAAAATATGCGTTAATCTTATACTTAAACGATATTACAACATTGGACAGGGGGAGGTCTGACAATTCCTGTAACTTCCCAGAACTTTTCTGCATAACCAGGCCCTTATGCTGTCATTCAAATATATGATATACGTCATATGAAGAATAAATACACTGAAAATGACCAATGCACATTGGATAATATATTCTATTCTTTAAATGGTTTATAGTGTCAGGATAATTTCACTCACCGAAGTGTTTTGAGGAGAGCAAGGGCAAACATCAAAAACATTTTCCTGTCACTCTACCCCAAAATGTTTCATATGAATTCCCTCCATAATGATGCTGTTTACATATTCAGACT